CTAGACTCGTTAGGAGAATCCAAATGGTTCTCAACATTAGATTTAGCAAGTGGCTACTGGCAAGTAGAAATGGATCATGACAGTCGAGAAAAGACAGCTTTTACCATCCAGCAAGGAATTTACGAGTTCAACGTAATGCCCTTCGGCCTAACAAATGCACCCGTGACTTTCCAACGACTCATGGATACTGTCTACTCTGGTTTGGCATGGACCTTCCTTGTTATTTATCTCGACGATACCAACATCCATTCACTGTCGTTTGGAAGTCATTTGGATCACCTGGAACAAACCTTTCAAAGACTACGAGAAGCAGGACTACGCCTGAATATCGACAAGTGCCATTTTTGTAAGGAACAACTCGAGTTCCTAGGCCATATTATTATCTGAGACGGAATACGTTCAGACCCCACCAAAGTGGAAAAAGTAAAAGAATTTCCACAACTAACGAACATCACGGAATTATGAGGATTTCTAGGATTAGCATCTTACTATAGACGCTTTATTCAAGGATTTTCTAATACTGCTGAACCATTGCATAAACTATTGAAGAAAGATCAACATTATGAATGGAGAAAAGAACATGAAGAAGTATTCGAAGAGTTAAAAGAAAGACTCACCCATGCGCCAATATTATTATATCCAGATTTTAAGAAAAAGTTCATCCTCGCTACCGACGCATCAAAACTCGGATTAGGTGCCGTCCTTTCACAACTCGATTCAAACGGAAATGAATTGACCACAAAAATAAAAGAAAACTTCCCGAATGTAACATTCATAATTGACTCAGTGGAACCACGATTCTCAACGCTGCCAATAGAAGAAATATTGATAAGAGAAACTGAAACGGACGAAGTAATTGAAAGATATCAAGACAACGAAACAATTAACGAAGAAGAAACCCATCAGTTTGATGAAGAAATAGATAAAATTAACCAACAACTGAAGAAGGCATGGAAAAAAAAAAAGAAAGAACACTATAAACCTCCATCATACAAAAAATTCACCCAAAGGAAAAATCAAAGAACTGTAGACCGAATTTGGAGACTGTTTTCGCTCACAAGCAAAAAGTGGAGAAAAACTATGTCTTTTATGGAAAATAGGAAATGAATTAAGAAAGATGAAAGACAATAAAATAAGCCAACTTCAGTTGATGAAAGGAAATTTTGAAAATCCTTACTCAAGTTCACTGAGAAAACGCCTGCAATTAGCAAAATGGCTTTCTTACACCTTCCCCAATACCCCAGAAAAATTATTATCAGTAAAA